TACTACATTTTATGTTTTATTTTATAATTTCAAATACTTCATATAAGTTTTATATTTCGTATAAAATAATTTTATAGCATATTATTTGTAGCCAATATTCATTCATATCATTAATTGGATTGAAATGAAATAAGAATTTATACTCTAATATTGCTCGATTATATCAAATTCCAAATTACAAATTATTGATAATTAATTACAAATTATCGATAATTTCTAATTATGCGTAATGATTGAAAAGAAAAAATTACAAATTAACATTTCAAATTTATCATTTAATTCATCGACTACAACTTTTTTTAATCACTCTAACTATCCAACTACAATTTTAATCACTCAAATTATTCAACTACTACCTCATCTACCTGTCGTTTCAATTACTACCTGTTAATATTTTAATATAATATGATATGATTACGATTGCTATTAACTATATTGTATGTTTTTAATGGATAACAAATGTTATTCCTACTTTTAGCTTTTTTTTTTTTTTTTTTTTTTTGTTTGACAACATCGATACATTCATCTGTCAACATAAAACAGCTGTACCATTGTCCTTTTCTTCTAACCACATCAACAAAAATTTCAAAAAATACGAGCACTTATATTTAGAAAAAATTTTCGATTTATATTTAATGACCAGTTTAGTTCACGTATATAAGTATACGTACGTACGTGTAATTTATTTATATTCCATACCTCTAACTTAAACATCTATAAGTAATCATAATTACATGTGTTATACTTATATCATATACCTTAAATATAAGTTTAAGTGTGTAAATTTGAGTTATAAATGTAAATTGGAAATGTTATACTTATATCATATACCCTAAATAGAAATGCAAATTGGAAATGATGAATGATTGTATCATATCAAGTTTTTAGCATAAATTGTCACATATTACTTCAAATTTTCCGATATTATGCTTAATTGATTTTGTCGGGATTTTATTAAAACTATTTTTTGTATCTTTAATATTATTATTAATCTACCTTTTTCTTTCCTTTATATCAAATAATGAAATTTTGATAGTATCAATGATATCTCTTTTGATTTTATCATTGCATATAGAAATGTTGTGGTTTAATAGTTCCTAGAATAAGCGAATATATTTAGTTGAACCGCTTGATAAACTTTTGTTTTCTTTTTTTTCAACTTTTTCAATTATTTTTGCTCTTAAAATGAACAATTTTGATAAAATCATGCATAAGGTCAAAGGTCAAGTATCGATTTTTTTTTTGTATTTTTTATGGAACAAGTTTGATATTATTTATCATCAATAAATAAATCGTTTGAGAAACGTAATTTTCTATTTGATTTTTCTAACATTTTGTTTTGTAAATATTTCCTAAAAATTAGAAGAAAGTCCTTAACAGGAATCTCTCTCTCTCTCTCACTCTCTCTCTCTCTCTCTCTTTCTTTCTTTAAACATTTCACAAACTATATAAAACAACTTCAAAAGGATTCATTGATTTAAGCAACATATCATAGTTAAGGCTATCACTAAAATGATAAGGTGTTGTCCAACATTGTCCACTGTTTTTGGTTTATCATATGTATGATTATAGCTACTACGGTCACTCACTCCTTATATCAACAATTTCTTTGTGACAATGATAAAAATTGAGCGGGTAGGTTATATTCCTTTGGTTCTATTTCTTTAGTTTTCTTTACTTCTCATACTTGGATAATGATAATGTCCATTTCTTTAGTTTTCTTTACTTCTCATACTTAGATAATAGAACCTCAAATTTGATTCTGATAAGTTTTATTCTGATAAGTTTAATTAATACAGTAAGTGTAACTCAATCAATTGTAATATTAATACGACAAATTTGATGACAATATTGATAACAAAAAAAAAAAAAAAAAAAGAACAGCCCAAATTATGCCCGATATTCTAGTCAATAGATCGAGCTTATTTACAGTTGTAAAATAATTTTGATGCTTAAGAACCTTAACTTCTTCAATATGCAAAAGCTAAGTAGCGTACATTGATAAAGCATTCTTTGTTAGCGCAAATGTTAAATGATAACGTATACAATAAAAAGAGATGCTTAACTTTTAACAAACAGAATTATTGTTCCATTATTTTCACTTATTGTATCAGCAATATCTTATATTAAAGCTAATAGTTCGGTTTTGATTTAATCATCAACATTAGGAGAATATTATTTACTTCTGTCAACTATCTTTTATATGTCCTGCACACGTGACAACCACATGAGGGACACAAGAGATGAGATAATAATAATAATAATAATAATAATAATAGTAGTAGTAGTAGTAGCAAAAACACTAACAACAACTGCAGCACTATCCTTATCAGTATTATATTATTCTTATCACTATCCCCATATTTATTGTTATCATTGCTATTATTATGTATGTTTTATTTTTTTTTTTTTTATTTAAACCATAACCCATATGAAATCAATCGTGAAAAAGAATTTAACGAACTAATTCACTTACATGGATTTTATCATTTATACAATTCATGACTGATAATTGCGCTTATTTTTAATGATTGTTAGTTGATATCAAATATATAACATTTATATATCACATATATGTGAAAAAAATATTTTCAATTATAACATAAATTTAATAGGCGCAAATTTTATTTTCATATCATTCGTTGCATTTTATTTCAATTCAAATAAAATTCAAAATTTCTATTTTTTCTTTTTTCATTTAATTGCGCGAATTTTTTTTACAGAAAAAAAAGAAAAGAAAAAAGAAAATGTGTAAAATTGTTAGCAAAATTTTCCAAATTATTTATAATTCGTATAATTTTTACATTACTAATTTCAAAATCTTTCTCAAATTATTGCTAATATTTAGTAACTTTTAATGAACAAATATTGCTAATATTTTGTTAATATTTGTTATTTAATTTAATAAAATAATAATAATAAAATAGCTTTATAATAATAAAATAGCAATTACCGTAAAAAAAATACCTAATTTGGAAGAAAATAATATGTTGAAGTTTGTGTATTGTCTGATATACAAACGATAAGATGTATTGATAAAGGTTTAGTTAATAATAGTAACAGTTCATTAGCGAATACAGAAAATACAAAAAAAAAAACAATTATGAATAAGTTCATTATTAATAGATGAAACAGAGAGATTTGTATGTTGAATTTGAAGATAATTAATGAAGATAAACTGGAGCTGAAAATGAGGGGACTGTCAATCGTTGGAGGTTGACAAAAAAAAAAAACTAATTTGAAAATTCCTTATATTGTAGGTGTGATTTATAAAGCTAATATATTACATGAAAAATTAATTTTTAAACAAAGAAAATATGATATTTAGCAGAAGTTTAAATATGTAGCATTGGATATAAGCATGATTATTAAATTACATACTGTTACAAATATATCCATTCAATATGTATAAGATAAATTTCAGACCAGCTACTAATTAAAGGTAATCAAAGTGACAGTCATTTATCACAATATTAGGGAAATTGAATAAATAATTCATCACTCGATATGTTAGAAATTTTATTTTAACTTTTGTATAATGTATTAATTATTGGAGAAGTGATCTAAATAAGACAATATTTATGATACTTTGATACTTTGATTATTTTAACATTTTATAAATTTTCTCAATTTTGATATGAATCGCCAAACTTTTATTGCATCTTTTTTTTTTTTTCAACTGCTAAATGTAATATTTTCCAGTGGCTACACCGAACGGTCATTCAGTAATATTTTACAGTGGCTACAACAAACGGTCATTTCATTTTCACCAATCATTTATCCAACATTAATCGAAGAATTTTGAATTTTATTTATTGTTGCAACTACGAGAAAAAAAAAGAAAAGCAAAAACGAAAGAGAAGAAAAATTTAATAATAACTTGGATAAAGTATTATTCATATATTATTGGATTTCGGTTTGTTTTCTTTTAATAAATTTAATTTTTCTTTTTCTTAATAAATCAATAATTTTAATTTCATAATAAATCAGCCAACTTTTATT